GCCGGCAACAAATACACGGGTGAGCACTTCATATTTATATATTTTTTTATGTGACACATCTGTTAAACACGAATTAACACCGTCTAGGCATGGACGAGCTGGACGAATTCAACGAAGCGCCACATATTGTACGCGAACGTGAACGGCGCAGAAATTCACCCGATGCCATAGTGATCGCCAACGGCGAGTTAACGCAACCGCATGCAAATGGTGGCAGCGGCATTGTGACATCAGTAGGCGCTAACAGTTTGCTGGCAACAAATGCTGTGAATGGTGAGGCATGCGTAGAGCTACTGGATGCTGAGGATCTGGACGCGGTGCTTTTAACCGATCTGAATAAGAATAGTCATGTTGTGGCATAAGTGTTAACGAACGTTGTAGTAGTAGCGCCGAAAGCAAGTTAAACAAAAACATATTTGTTTGTGTACTGTAAACGCTTGTAGTTTCGTGCGTTGTTCGGGGAAAAAAAGTTAAAAGTGTACATTTTACTAGCATCCTGCGTAGCGTAGACACGCGTAGTGCGCGTTCGTGAACTTACGTTGCGCGCTTGTCTGTTCAAATGTGGTAACGAAAGTCGTTGTGCATCATATGTGATGATTTTTTTTATGATTTTATACACATACATAAGCATATGTAAACCTTATTATTATTATTCAAAAATTTGCTTAAGTTTTGTATATTGATTTTTGCTGCTTACAAAATACGTTTACATTACATTAGTTTTTAATTTAGTGATAATATTTACAAAACTAAATAATCGATATATTTCTATTGTGTGATGTAGTCAAGTACATTTGCATATGTGTTTAGGAACAACAGACATTATTAATTATAAAATAAGGCAAACTCATTATTATTATTATTATGCACCTGGTTAAAGCATAATATTCTACTATTTATGTATATACATATAAGGTACACATTTCATATTGTAATCGATTACTATTACGATAATTTACATTACTTAGCGTTGTAAGCACTGTTCGAATGCGCATATTATACATATTTGGGTAGTTATATCGATAGTAAGATTAGCGGTAAAGAAAGCTGGTGAGTTTATGTAGAAGAGTTACAAAAATAGAAACAAAAGGTGAAATATGCTGCAAGTACACAACGATTTTTGCAGCCTTGTGCTAAATGGACTTTGTAAAATGAACTTATGATTATTACTGTAACAAAGTACTAAATTTGAAAAACAAAAATGTAATGATAATAAAAATATAATAAAAGAACAGAAATTATAGAAATAAACACATATACCTAACGAGTGTCAAATTATATTTGTAAATTGCACAATTTTTTGCATATGTATTATATATTTAGTGCGTTAAGCACACCTACATACCGGCCCCCACCCAAAAATGTAAAGAAAAAACGAAAAAGTGGTATGAAATGAAGTTTGAAAGTAATAATCGAGGCACAAGTATATCAAATATGTCAATAAAAATTTAAAAAATATATAAAACGAGGTAAAAGTGAATGTGAAATATGTCAATAAAAAGCGAAAACTTAAATAAAAACATAAAATATTAAATACAATAGAGAAATCGAGAAAATATTAAATATGAAGGCAAAACGAGATGTGAGAAAAAAAATTAAAAGCAGTAATTGAGGAAAAAATAATACAAGAAGAAAATGAAAAACAATAATTGAATTAAATATAATACAAATTGGACAACAGTCAATAATGCTAAGTGAGTTCATGATTTGTTGAAAAATAAATGATGCAATTAAAGTATAAAAAAAATCTAAAATAATAAAATTTGCAAAAAAAAAATACTACAAAACTGAGGATTGCAATTTTCTAAAAATCACGCATAACTCCACCCAAAATCAATCACTTGACGATTTTTCAAAACCCCACAAGTACCAGGTTTTTAAAACATGCTGTACTTTGTGTGTGAAAATACGTAATATTTGAGTTACAAATACACTGACACACATATTCGTATGACTAATTTAATTATAAGCCGCTGCTAAACCATACATACATACATATGTATTTAATGGCAATGCATAGTAAGACGTTGATGAGAGTGTGACAAAGCCAAACCCAAATCGGTTTAAGTTTTTAAGTGAAGTTTTAAAAAGTGTTTTTAGGCATAGCTGGCTGCAGAGTTTTTATGAAGTGTATTGTAATGGAAGACATGCTATGTATAGTCTTAAACTGAAAGTCGGCTGTATATTTAGAAAAAAAAACTAAGCAAAATCCGAAGCATAGCAAGCAATGTACGGAAACTTGAAAAATGTTCGTTAATGAAATTACATGTTTTATTTTATTATTTCTTAAAAATAACTGAAAATTCTTAAAAAAATATTAATTAAAATTTTCTACAGAATTTAATGGGTATATACAATTAGAATGCCGAAAAAACGAATTTTCCACAATTTTTTCCGAAAAAACTTTTAAATTTATTATTCCAAATTTTGTTACACATATTATGGTTTCTTTTAACTGTACTTTAAGACTTAGTATTAGTAAAAATATTTATTTAGAAAGCAACTATTGCCGATCTTCGGAAGCTCCTCAAAAAAGTCGTTTTGCGGTGACAACTATATTTCAAAAATCCACTGAAATTCACAAAAACCACAAAGATTTCGTTAAAATAATGTTAAATCTAGTAAAGCAAATCGAAGGTATGTATAAGCTAAAAAAAATATTTTTTCACAAAATGAAAACACCTTTTTGAGAAAAACGCGTTTAAAGTTTGGCCTTGTATTTCCAAGCACTCTGAAACGCCTTTTCGAATTTGCGTGTAACTTCGAAAATATTCACCGGAACGATATGAAATTTTCTGTGAGTATTCTTTAATATATGTAAATTAAAAAAATAAAAGTAATAGATTTTTTGAAAATTCTAACTGTATATACCCCTTTAAAAAAATGTCACCAAAATTTGTACTTTTAGTCAGTAAATTGAAGTTTTACTTTTGGCCATGGCAATTCATTTTTGCATCATATCCCTGCTATACGTGCATGTGTGTGTAACAAATAATTGTTTTGAAGACCTGTATTTAGTTTTTTACAGATTTTAAATACAATAATAAACATTGCATTGAAAAAATAAAATTTAATTAAAATTAAACTGAATTTCATTCAAAGCAATCAACATGCCATAAAGGTGAATAATTACACCACAGTGGTGAATGTAAGCTGGGGTATGCTTCCGGTTAAAAACACAAAAAAAGGGGTAAGGATAAAGAGGGGTTTCAGGTTGCGAGTGACCTCCATGTGTCTTCCAAGGCGTCAACATTCTCTTATTCCTTACAAAAAAAATTGTTCAGCGGCGTTAAAACTCTACGCCACCAGCCCACAAAAGAAGATAATGCGCCCACCAAAAGTTTTCCTCTTCATTGACTGTAACATTTGGAAGAATTATGGACCAAGGATTACCTCTGCCGATAGAACACACCAAATAGTGAGTTTTTGAGAATCAAGCGCCGTCTCAAAAGTGGTTTGGATATTACCATCACTTCAAAAATTAAATTTTTCGTTATTAACGTAACCAATTAACCAAAAATGAGCTTCATCGCTGAACAAAATTTTCTTATGGAAAGGTGGTCATATCGATTTTCGGCCACTTACCCATGTAGTTGTTGTACCGGGTACCTAATCCCCGTTAGGAAGTATTAGATAAGTTGTCATCGACGTCATCCAACGGTATTCGTGCTGTTTCGGCGGTGTATGACCAAATGGAGAAGGGAGGCAGAAGTGTAGGGTTAGCAGAGCATGCAAAGAAGTCCAGTGTCATGCGGGGACTCATTGCACACTGGACTTATGTTTGATATGTCAGAGTCTATTCTGGATAAGTGGGAGTTTAACCTGCTGCAGTATCCAGAATGAAGTTGCGTAAGGGGTAACCCTCGATTCTCGCGGCAACTCGAGCCCTTCATCTGTAATGGATGGTGGTTTGACTCCGGGTACATCATTCACAGAGAGGGAGTCGATGAAGGTGTTAATGGCACCACCGTGAATGGTGATGAGTGCATGTCCAAAGTTGGTTGCGTCTGAAGTCTGGTCGGCGTACTGTTTTATGTCATCGACGTATTTGAGGTGGGGCCTCTTGATGCTCATAGGAGGCGGTCCTGCTCTAAGTAGGTGTCCGCAGAATGATTTCTGCGAAAGCACTGCAAAACAGAAACTGTTTGAAGAGGAGTTAATTATGCTCCTCACTGTGCAGGTTTGGATGGGAGACTTCAATTGGCATGTTGTCTTAGTTCGGAGTAAAGTGCCATGTTTGTGTCTTCCTCGTCTGCATTTAACTGCATCCAGGCGACCATATTGGTACGGCGTAGTTAAGGACCGCCCGACCGATTGCCTTGTATGTTGTCAACAACATTTCTTTGTCTTTTCCCCATGCGCTGTCGGTTAGCGACTTGAGGTTTTTGTTGCGGTTCTGTACTTTGGCAATAATCGCGGTCGTGTGAGAAGTGAACGAGCACAGGCTGTTGAAAGTCATACCTAAAATTTTAGGGATATTGACAGTCGGAATCTTAATGCCATCGATTGCATTATATAAACGTCTTCGTTCGTTCAGTTTGTGAATATGGTTGCTGTGGATTTAGTGAGGAAGAGTATTAGATTCCGTGCAGCGAGAAGAGTCGGAGAGATAGCCGTTTAAGTTTGAACACATGTCATCGATTCCATTGCCCGACGTCATTATCACGCAATCATGAACGTACGAGGTAATAGGAATTCCCTCTGATGGTTGCGGCAGTTTCGAGATGAGGAAGTTAAACAGTAACGAGGAGAAGACACCTCTACCTCACCTAATTCCTTTCAATTTAGAGATTTTACCTCGAAATAATACGAACGGTTGACGACGGCACAGGTAGTTGATAGTCCACCTTTTCAGTCCTGGAGTCTTCAAGTGTCGTCTGTGACTGTGTCAAAGCCTTTTGACAAGTCCAACGGTGCAAGTATCGTCATCTCGTCCATTTGATTAAATTTAAAAAAAATATACAATTTTGTAACATTATTGTTGTTTTATTTATGTGTTATTAATTTTTATTTATTCTTAACTTATTTTGCATATCAAATTGCACCAGCACGGACGTCTTCACCAATACCATCAAAAAGAATTGCAGCGTAGCTTCTTTATTGAACTCGAAGAGACCACATAGCATGTAGCGAAGTTTGTGACAACTCAGTTGTGAGGCAAATGTGTCCAACTAAATGAAAAAGTAGGAGAAATTACAAAAGACAAACAATTCGATTACAAAGCCAAAACTGGGTTGAGTATCAGTAAAAGCAAGACTGGAGATCAAGTAAAAATAGAGCACGATAAACGCTACAACAATAACAGAGCACGAATCCAGAATAAATTATGGGACCAGAAAACTCGGACGCTGCATGTGTTAAGAACTCGTAAAGGTCTTTCAGGAATAAGCTACTTCCGTAGCACATTACTATCAAGAACGCTACAACTGTAACCTAAATATTCTCCAATGCTTTGACTTGATTTTTCTTCAGACGACCGTTTTCTCAATGTCTGGCTAGCAACCATCTGTCCTTAGTTTTTCAGTAAAGATATTTAAAATTAATAGTCCTACATAACTGTTCGAAAGCTTATAATGAGAAACGTGTCATAAAAGTGCTTAAAGGTTAGATTAAACTGGTAGGCAATAAACCACGCATAGCGCAGTTTTGGTCGTTTGTGATATCAGATAGAGTTCAGTTCCTACGTTCAAGAGACTTCGCTTGACGCGAATTTTAACAGGCTCTGCGATCTCACTTTCGATACCTCCTCTAGTGTATCATACCGTGCAGAGAACAGATGCTTACAGCATAGCCTTGCCAATGCGGGACAAATGCACAATGGTTACTCCACTGTTTCCCTGTTGCCCTGCTCTAAACAGCTCCATTAAAAGTGCTTAAAATTTTGAATGTAAACTCAAGAAGTCGAGTTGAAGTAATCCCACTAGTCGGATGTCCGTCTGTTTATGAAGAATTGTATAACTAAAATCTAAAATCTGCAAAATACTGAGTTTTGGAACCCAAGGCATAGTGGTCGACTAGTTATTTTATATACATACATACATGAACTATTATTATATTTTACCGCTTTCCTCAAGCTATTGCTCTCACAGGTGTCAACGAGTCCGGCATGTTCTCGCAATAACTGTCCGGTACGATTGCATTTTGTTAGCATCGCATCCAGCATACCCATCATCATTGCCGTATCGCCAAAGAAGACCGCCGTGAAGAACAGTTCGTTGGCCTGCAACCACAAATTCTTTGTCTGATTCTGGCTGAGGAGGAGACAAACTCCATATACCGCACGCATATTGGTTGTAAATAGGCGCAGTAGCAAGGCAGCCAATGTTAGCTCGCCGATTTGGAATATGCGTTGCGTCAGACGGTAACCAGTGAGATGTAGCATAGCCAGATTGTTGATATGGCTGGCAAACTCTGCACCAACGCGTCTGCGTGACATTTGACCATGTAGTTGTACGAAAAGTGATTTTAGCTGTGAATTTATCTGCGAAAACTGTCTGTAAAGTTGACTGTATATATAGAAGAAATTTCCCGAGACGGTTATAACAAAAGTGTGCAACGCAAATGAGATAAGTGTGATCGGCATGTAGCGACCATCAGTGCCCGGGTGTTGAGACAAGAAACTATAAACATTCATTGTTACTAGAACATAAGCGAGACAAAATTTGAAAATAATGAGATTTTCGACGCGGTGCTCAATTGTTGTTCTGTGTAGTTCATTCCTTTCCTCGACATTCACGTTAATCCGTCCATTTGCAGCTTCTGTGAATGCTTTAAGCCGAGTTTCTAGCGCACGATAAACCACATACACCGACTTTATGTCTTCTCTTTTGCACCATATCTCCTTGACAAGCACCACCATGAAGAGATTCTTCGTCACATGTGTAAGACTGTAGGTCCACTGCAATATTGGATCGTTTGTCAAGAAGTCACGACTGAAATAGTAGTAGCCCGCGTAGGTTGTGGCGAGTAGACAAAAAATATGTATGAAAGCGCTGTGTACGAGATAAAGACGTGTGACTCGAAACTCAAGAGTTTTCCCATCCAGCGGAGCTGGAAGCAAACCCACTACGAGCGAATTGTAATAAGAAATTTTCAACACGAAGCGAAACAAACGTTCCCGTAACATTTTTATATTCTACTGAGGTGCGAACAAAAGCTTTCATAGCTACTTTGAAATGTTATTATTGCGTGTTTGTTGTTGTAACCAATGATAGACATCTTATTTGCTGATACTATCTACTTGGAGGACATGAATTGGTGGAGAAAAGGGGTTCAGCCACCACTGTACTACAAAAATTAAAAACAACTATCTACATTTAATTCGAAGTGGTCTTAAAAGTACTACTAATCACCTTGAAACTTAGTCTGGGTAGAGTAGAGCTTCCACAAGTCAGCGACTTGCCATTACAAGAAGCAAGGACGGCGGAGCGTTATACTCACAAAGGGAACATACTGTCTCTTTTGCCTGAAGCGCTCTTTAGAAATATGCAACGTGATGGGTTTCGATGGCTTATTATGAAGATATTTTCAACAATAAACTTAGTTTCTAGGAATTTAGTGAAGTTATAACTAAAACTTTCTCCAGACTGGATAAGGAAGCGAAACAATTGGGTCTAGTAGTGAACGAAGGCAAGACGAAATATCTTCCGTCGTCAAACAAACAATCGTCGCACTCGTGACTTGGCTCTGACGTCACTATTGACAGTAAAAACTTCGAAGTCGTAGATAATTTCGTCGACCTTGGAAGTAGTATTAACACCAACAACAATGTCCGACTTGAAATCCAATGCAGAATAACCCTTACAAGTGCGACATAAAGTCCACTCTCGACGAACAAAAACCAAACTCTATGAGTTACTCATAATTCCCGTCCTGCAGAGGCTTGGACGATGACAACATCTGATGAGTCGACGTTACGAGTTTTCGAGAGAAAGATTCTGCCGCATATTTATGGTCTTTTGCGCATTGCCGACGATGAATATCACAGTCGCTGGAGGGATGAGCTGTACGAGTTATACGACGATAAGAGACAGCGGCTACCCCGGCTTGGTCATATCGTCCGAATGTATGACAACACTCCGACTCTGAGAGTATTCGATGCAGTACCCGCCTGTGGAAGCAGAGGAAGAGAAAGATCTCCACTCCGTTCAAAGATTATCGAAATCTCTTTGACTATGGTTTGACTATGGCTGACTTGGTGCTAGAACCCAAACTCAAGCAGTAGTCTTCTACGTAATATAAGTCAGCTATGAGACATGAGTTCTTATAAATAAATAATTTTTTTGAACATGCCAATGAGTTAGTCCCCTCTTGAGTTATAAATTTTATAGCCACTGGTCTGCATCAACCACACATGTTTAAAATTAATTAAACTGTCGGCATCGCGATGGTATGATACTTGCATAATTTATAATTTTAAGAGTGCAAATATTTGCGCAGCAGTTTGCTAGTAGAGAGAAAATGCTTTAGCAAGAAAGCAGAAAAAACTTAAAATATTCTTCTCGGTCAAAAAATGGAATTAAATGGCGAAAATTTTCTATTTTTCACGGCGAAGCTCCATCAAGGACCAGTGTTTATCTTTTGTATGATGAATTCAATCGAGGTCTTAGATCACTCCAAGACGAGTTTCAGGAATGTCGTACAAAATCAATTGTTGTTCCCGAAACTATTAATGTTGTGCGCAAACTGATATTCCGAGATCGTCATGTACTCTATCGTGAGATTGAAACAACTATGGGCATTAGTGGGGCTGGCATAAATTCAATATTGCATCAATATTTGTTTGTAAAAAAAGAATTATTCACGCTGGATCCTACACAATTTCTTAATCGCTCAAAAATAGACTCGTGTTGATTGGCCAAGAAAAAAAGAAAACACGATAGCGGTGCTTCGAAACACGTCTATGACATTGTGACAGGTGATGAATCGTGGATTTAAACTTATGAGCGCGAAAGTAAACAGCGGTCGACTGTATGGGTGTTTCCAGTTGAGGCGAATCCAGCAAATATTGTTCGCGCTCGAAGCATTTCGAAACAAATGGTTTTTTTTTTTTTTTTTTTTTTTTTGAAAAACTATCTATTTCGCAACCATACCACAGGAATAACGAAGAACAGTAAATTCAGACTGGTATACAACCTTTCGCTTGCCAGTTGTCTTTCAAGGAATCAGGAAAGTCACCTCCTAAGGCGTATCACTACTACGACGTTGGCATTGACTGCATTTTTTGGCGCATGAATGCCTATTGCATAATGTACAGTAAGAATTCCTACGGCTGCAGCAAGATAAATTTTTAGAAGACCAAGTGGTTCAATACATCTCCAAAGTTCTACTTTTGGTCACAATGATCTCGCAGTCGCGCAGCGACGGAGTAGTGTTTACTGTGTGTATCATTAGCCTGAAAGTCAGAAAGTATTAGGATATGTACATATATCTAAATGAGTATTGGATGCGCATAACTCTTCTACACTAGTATTGCCGATGTACGCTATCAAATAGTAGCATAGTAGCACTTCAAACATAAAACAAAATCCGATATTTTATAAACAGCCGACCTTTAATTTCTTCAATATTTTCAGAATTCGGGAAACTTAAGCGCGCCAATTGGACCATTTCTTGATCTCGGCATACAAGTTGTTACCAGGGCACTCAGTGGAGCCGACTTGACGATGGCCGTAAAGAATGTAATTAGACGCGATTTGTCCACGTGAGACGGCATCGGCAATCAAAGCCTTAGCGGCAGCGATCTGAGCGGCAGTTGGAACATTGTCTGTAAAAGTAATACAATCAGTAGTATGATAGAAAAGAGCTTAAACTCTATCCTCAGTCGCTCACTATTGTAATTGCCCATGAAGGAGATGCCAATTGATTTGGAGTTCCAGTTTGTGGCATGTGCGCCCACTGTACTCCAACCACGACCCTCATACACTTGGCCATCACCACCGATCAGGAAGTTGTAACCAATATCAGCCCACCCCAAGGAGTCCATGTGGTACGACTGCATGTTGCGCATCTGTTGAGAGCATGCGGTTTGGGTGGAACAGTAAGTGCCGGCGGTATGATGTATAATGACGTAGGACAAACGACTGGCCAAGGTAGTGCGGCTAGTAGGGGAACGACCACCCCATGTTGCCCTGCTGATGATTTTCACACCGAAGACAGCATTGGCGCACAGGAGCACAGTGAACAGTGTGAAGAAAGTCTTGAAAGCCATATTATTGGTGTTGCAGAGAAAAGAAATGTTGTACTAATGACGGCTGATGAGCATATAAATGCTTTTATACCCCAGACGGACACGCCTCTAATGACGAGATAATGTCACTTAAAATATTGTATATTTTACTAATAATCGTTGCACCAAATAAATTATGCATACAGTAATTTATTATACAAAATATAGCATGTGGCTGTGATGTCACCAAAGGCGTGGAGCTTTCATAAATTCTCATTTGTTATAGATAATTTCGAAGATTGTTTAAAAAACCCCCTGAATGGTTCCCGTTATATTGATAAGAATCATTGTTGAAGTGTTTTATTAAAAATAATTGGGTCCTGAGCTAGTTAATAAGTGAAGGTTATTTTCTTGTAGGAAAATAAAATAGTTTCGAGATCGGAAGTCAGCATACATCTTTCCTTATAAGTTTAAGCTGATGAAATTTAACTAAAGAGAAGACAAGAAGAGAAAAAAAGATGAGAGAAGAGAAGAAAAGAAAAGAAGAGATGAGAAGAGAAGAGAAGAGAAGAGAAGAAATGAGAAGAGAAGAGAAGAGAAGAGAAGAGAAGAGAAGAGAAGAGA